ACAAGAGGGAAAGCTGGGAAGACACCTTGCTGGGGCCAATATCTCCCTAAAGGGAGGTGAAAGACCTGCTGCAAGGGGGAAGTGTACTATGCTCAGCTTGTATATCTGTAAATAAGCTAAATATTACCAAAAAATCCAGTTTTCTCCCCCAAAGGAAATAAAAACTCAAAGGAGTGCTGCCGTTTACAGTCTTGGAAAGCAAGAAGCATGCATCAATATGATTCATCCATTGAGCCCTGCATTTTTCTCCCCTTCTGTGCTGAATTGTAGACTGAAAGCAGCTCAGGGCAAGGACTTTTGTTCTTCATAAATGCCATGCATATAAATGGGGCTTTAGATAAACTACCACCAATAGTACCATTAATAATAATACCAACAACTACTACTATTTTGTTGTTGTTGGCACCCATCTGTCCCCCACCAGGGGTATTACTCCTCCCCTGATACCCCATACACCCCAATAACTATTTTACACTGTTATTAATTGGTAATTTGTTTATTTTCATTGATTTATTTTAAAACACTTACGTACTACTTTTTATCTAAGTATTCCAAATCCATAATATCACTCAAGCACTGCCAGAAAGTTTGGCAACCATAGCCCAAGGCATGAAGGAGACAGGAGGTCTCAGGAGGTCAGCAGCGGTTTGGGGTGCTGCCAGGATCCAGAGGATTGAGGGACTTGGGGGTTCTGTCCTGCATCTCCAGATTCAATGAAGGAAGCATTTCACCCTTGATACTGTATTTGATCCTAGAAGACATCCAGACCAAAATAAAACGTCAGTTATCCAGAACCGACTGGTGCTCAACCACTCAGAGGACACTTCAGAAGAGGGACAGCCATGGCAACTGTGTCTTTCACGCTGGCTGTGTGGCTTCTGCAGCTGACCATACTGCAAGGTGACTTATAGGGTTTGGGAAATGCAGAAATCCCCTCCATGTAGCCTTCATTTAGGGGATAGGAAGGGAATCTGGAGCGATAAAAATATTTTAAATAAAAAGCTTGCCACTACATTTCTTCCTTGTAGCTCAAAGAAGCTTCTGTAGGGGATCTCACATTAACTACATCTTAACCTCAGCAAGGTTGATGCATCTTGCACCTTTAAGCCATGCAATACAAAGGTGGGAAGCTATCAAAACAGCATTTCTCCTACACACAAAATCGCAAAAAAATTATTGTTGCTTTGAGGAGAAAAGGCATATGCTCAGCATAACACAGAATACTTATTTCTAAGAGCAAAGGATTTTGAGAGTCAAGTCTACCTGGCTTCATCATGTGTCCCTCATTCTAAACTGCAAGAGTGGAAGGGCAAACTTGCCCTGTACTAAACTTAGAGGGAAGAATTATGCTAGGAGCTTTCTCTTGTACCCCTGCTGCTGCTAAGTAGCGGCATCTAAAAGCTCTGAGAGCCTTTGCTCTATTGTAGCCCTAGGGAACGCACCCCCGTTCACATTGCTTGCCAATACTGAATACCCACCACACCTGAACTGCCCACATCTCCCCACAACTCCTTCAAGCCCCTCCCCATAGTCACCTTCTCCAAGGAGCCATGGCACTTTCAGGGGGCATTTTTTGGGGAGGGCTCCATGTTCAGAGGGTGTGAGCTCTGTTCCTTGGTGCCTTACAACATTGTGTGTGCGACGTCAGGATGTTACATCAGGTCCCCACAAACCTCTTTAGAAGTTCATGCCTCTAACCCAGCCCATTTCCTTACAAGATATATATCTTGTGCAGACACATTCACATGAAAACATGGATCTCAAAAAAAGGGGGGGTACTACAGTTACCGTATTTTTCGCTCTATAAGATGCACCTGACCATAAGACGCACCTTGTTTTTGAAGGAGGAAAACAAGAAAAAAAATATTCTGAATCCCAGAAGTAATCCCTCTTGCTGTTCTGGCTTCAGCGAAAGCAACGCAAAGCCTCTTCAGCACATTGGGAGGGGCGCTCCGGCTGCCCTGAAGAGACTTTGCGCTGCTATCCCAGAAGCCAGAACAGCAAGAGGGATCGCTGCACAGCAATCCCTCTTGCTGTTCTGGCTTCAGCGATAGCTGCGCAGACTGCATTCACTCCATAAGATGCACACAGATTTCCCCTTACTTTTTAGGGGGGTGCGTCTTATAGAGCGAAAAATACGGTAATTGGGAGCTTCTTGCTTTGGTTATGGCTTGCATAAAGGAAGAAAAAATGGGTACACACATAAGCAGATACATGAATTCCTGGAATTGGCCTGTGTGACAAGGTCCCTTCCCCTTGTTCCTACATACAATCCTATGCTGTATCTTTCTTCTACAATATTTCTTACCTGAAGTATCTGCTTTTTCATTTTCCTCAGGTGCTGCCAGCTCAACAGCAGGTAAGAGCAATTCGTTATATTGGAAGCATTTCTGTGCAGGAGTTTCACCCGAGGAGATCAAAACCAAACGAGGACTACTAAAATCAGAGGTCATGTTATCCAATCTCCTCACCTCAGATAAGATACTTCTTAATGTGCCACGTTAATATGAAGACAGTAGATCCAAATCAAGCTGGTTCCAGCGCATTACAAGGATAGAGCAAAAGGTTTCTCCCATTCCAGGTGCTGTTGCGTGGTTTTCAGAAGCAATGTCTTCTAGATGACCAACTTCCTTAAGACATTAAGCCAAGCCACAAAAAGAGATGGGGAAGCTAGTCCGTCTTCAAGGCTCTCCCCATATCATGTACCCTCCAAAGGCCACGTCTCTCTCTCCAGCCAGGCTCCACGCTGTCCTTGAGTGGTTCTGTCTGCTTGGAAAGCATCCTTGAACCATATTGGTGCCTCTTCCTTGGCAGAAAAGATGTGGTGGGGGAATGTAGAGACCGCTGGACTTTTGTGTGGCTGAAATGTACCTTTCTCCACAAAGATAACAGTCTCACCCATTCCTTTGCCCACTTTGCCTGCAACTCCACCCACTTAGCTAAAGAAATGAAGGCCCCCATTGAGCCTCTCACACAAAGAATCTTAATCCCTGACCCACAGAAACTTGAAACCCCAAGATTTTAGGAGGTTCTGCTTCCAGCTCTGGTGACAGAAGAGTTAGTAGAGAAAGTTCTGGACTGAGAGCTAGGAGTCCAGAACTCAGGGATTCCATTGCCACATCTATGACTAGAGCTGGGTGGGAAATTTGATTCAGATCACATTTAAAGATGAACCTACCTGGTTAGCATTTTCTGAAACAACACATGAACTTAAACACAGCTCTCCTTCCAAATTCTCCCTTCTCCAGAATTCGCAGTGCAGTTCTCCAGTCAGGTAATATGCAGAAAAATGCATATGCTAGCGTAAAGTGTGAATAAATGCATGTGTTAGCAAAGACATACAAAGATGTATTATAGTGGGGAAAATATCTTTGCAAAATGTTTACATTAGGGGAGACTGTACATAAATGCTGGTGAATTTTCATTAAAGCCTTTGCGGGGGGGATGCAGAGTTGTGTGCAGCTGAACTTAGACGACTGGAAGAAACTGAAATTGATAAATTTGCCCTTCTCTGTCTGTGACTAACTAAGGGCACTTCTTATGCTAATATGGAAAATTAAAAATCCAACTGAGTTTTCAGAAATAATTCAAAAATTCAAGATTTAGCAATCAGAAACACACACAAACACATAGCCCTATGTTTAGGGGAAAGAGGTTTTTAAGTGTTCCATGTTCTCAAGATTTACATTTAGCTTTTATTGGTATATTCTAGAGAATATTGGTTTATCAGATAAAATTTTTGTTCGCTGTTCACTTCTTCAGTAATTTTTTCAAAGTTCTTATCACTTACATGGGAATTAAGGCCAAAGTACAAGTGGTGTTAATTGGGACCCCAGTGTGGCAGGGAAGGGCAGTCTAACTAAGCCTTTCCCCCTCAACTTTGGTTCTGCAGGGTAACCTCTCCTCCATGCAGAGGAGGGCCTGATCCTGATCATGGCTGTGGTCAGGCTAAATGGTTTAAGTTCCGAAATGCACACATCAAGGTCCCAATCCAGATCTAGGAGCCCACATTGGAAATCTGTGAACAAAAGATCTTGCACTCAATGGCAAACCACATACTTAACACCACGTGTAGCTGGGTCCTTGGTCTCACTGAACAAAATGAGGCTTACTTGTGATAAACACGCACAGCATTGGGCCACATGTTCCAAGGAGAAATTATTGGGCAATAAATGTTGTGTTAAGAAACAGTAAGTCAGTTTTACTTACCAGATTAAATGCTCACTAAATCTATCAAAATTGATAACTGGAAATCTTGTTTTGAAGATTAAAAACAGATTAAAAGAGCTCTAACATGGCTGTGCTGCAAACCATAACAGCAAGTCCTCTCATTTTCTCCTCATCCTTCACAGGGTGTGGGCAACCAATAAAGTCTCCACGAATTGTTGGTGGTCAACCAGCCTCAGATGGGTCGTGGCCCTGGCAGGTCAGCATTTTACAGAACCTTTATGCTATTTGTGGAGGATCCCTCATAGCTGAGCAATGGGTGCTCTCAGCAGCTCACTGCTTCTACAAAAAGTGAGTACCTGATGGTTATTGCTGTGCAGCCGTTATCAAGCGTCACCTAAAAGACGGCTCAAGGGCAGGCTAATATCCTCTGCCTGCCTGTCAGCTACCTGGTGTCTCAGGTGTACAATACATTCAAAGCAGAACCATGTCACTTTAAACAGTCATGGCTCCCCCCCCCCAAAAAAAAAACCCTGGGGACCGTAGTATGTTACAGGTGCTCAGAGTTGTTAAGAGACTCCTGTTCCCCACACAGAACTACAGTTCTCAGAATGGTTTCAAAATCCATCCCTCTTTTAAAAATTTTTTTTTTAAAAATCCATCCCTCTTCCCAGGGAATTGAGCTCTTGGAGTTATAGTTCTTTGGGGAGTCCAGGGTTAAGGTGGGTTAGGGTGACAAGCAGGAACTCAAAAGTCAGTATTGACAGATCCATCTGTTTGTTTGTTTGTTTGTTTGTTTGTTTGTTTGTTTGTTTTGCCCTTCTATTCACAGAATGGGGTCCATGTTCCAATACAATGTCCTCCTAGGTGCCTATCAACTCTCACACGTCTCAGATAATGCAGTGATATCTGACGTGCAGCAGATTATCCTCCACCCTGACTACAATGGCTTGAGTGGATCCACTGGAGATATTGCTTTAATTAAGCTGAAGTCCCCTGTGAAGTTCACCAACTACATCCTCCCCATCTGCCTGCCAGAGTCCTCTACACAGTTCCTTTTGAACGAATCCTGCTGGGTGACCGGATGGGGAAATATTCAATATGGAGGTGAGGGGTGTTCTTCAAAAGGCTCATTCAGACTCTGGGGCTCATCCTGATTCATCCCAAAACTTTTGCAGACGCAAGCAGTATTGAAAGTGGAACCCATTGAAACTGCCCCAAGACCTTCATGAGCACAAATCCTCAGGAATGCACAATAAAAATGCTATCTGGAAGGCCCGAATTATAGTCCTTCTTGAGCATTCAGTTTGATTTGGTTATGGGGCAGCTCCGAGGGTTTAGGTATAAGCATTTTTTTGTGCATGCAAAAAAATCCATGCACCTGGAACTGAACCCCTGTGCAAGATGCGATCATACTGCACTTGGAATCTGCAAACATTTTGGTACGTGCTTGAATCCCTCCCACAAAATGCTGACACTCTGGAAGCAAATTCAGTACAAATGGGAGAGAAATTTAATTCTGTTTTCATTTAAATTACACTTTCTCCAAACCATACTCAAATGAAAACATTGTCACTCTCTGAATTTTGCAATGCAGTTCTGCAGCCAAGTAATGTGTACAGAAAAGCTTACATATGCTGGGGTAAAGTCTGTATAAAAATGCATGGGTTAATGAAAATGCATGCATATATTAGGAGAAAATTGCACTGGGCTGCGACTGGATTTTCATGAGGATTTCTTTTTTAAAAAATGCAGGGTTTTTTTAATTTCCCAAGGTCCAACTCTACCATTAGGCAGAGTGAAGCAGGTGCCTCAGCTGGCAAGCCCTGAGAGATGTGAAACAGCCATGTTATCTGACTTTCATTCCAAAGCTCACCTGCTGCTCTTAGGTGTAATGGAAGCCCAGCCGGCCCACCGGTGAGGCAGGCTGCAGCAGCTGCCTCAGGCAGCAGAACACTAAGAGGTAGCACCCCTGCAAGTGCCCCACAGACTCCACTACTGGCAGAAAAGCAGTGGCTTCCAATGAGATCTGATGAGACCTCGCCCAAACCTGCCATCACTGGTGTTACCCAGGTAACAGAGGATTTGGCAGGGGGTGGCAGCAGCACTGGCATGTTCCGGTTTTCCCTCAGGAGCCAAATTGGGACATGCCACCCCTGAGTGAAATATGATGTCCCACTGCCGCCTTCTGCACATCTCATGCTCTGAGGTGTAGTGAGTGCACACCCACCATGCACTCACTGCTAAAAGTGTATGTGTCTGAATGCACTTGAATTATTCTGCCTCTGCCTTCCATGACTGCTTTCCATTTCTCTCTCTCTCTCTCTTCCAGTGCCTTTGCCAGATCCACGAACCCTCCAGGAAGTCAAGGTGCCACTCATAATTCGAGAAATCTGCAATATTCTCTATAACAGTCGCCCAGTGCTAGGCCTGGGCTGGGATCCTATCAAGCAGGATATGATCTGTGCTGGTTACCCAGAAGGTGGGAAAGATTCCTGCCAGGTAGGTTGTTCCATGACCTGTTCTTCATACACTCATTGCAGGTGGTAGACAAAGGCAGACTCTGGTGTGATGGCATTTGAAAATCCCTTATGTTATTACTGTATGTATGAACTTACATTGTGTGTATATAGTACTTAGGCATTGCTTACTAATTTGACTCTAGCTAGGGAGACTATTTTTCAGATTCTCCCATTTTTCAAAGTGTTATTGCTTTTGTTTCATCTTAAATATTGTGATGCTGCTTCTTTGGGCAATATCCCAAATATTGCAGGTGCCAGAAGCTGGCAGAATCACTAGAACTATCTTGTCCATTCATGCATGAGGTGATAAAGATTTTTTATTTTAAAGGTTTTTTTATTCAATTTTACAATTAACATTTACATTCAAACCAAAATCGTAATCATAAACATATAGTAGTCCCTGAATCCTTGGACTTCCCTCCATGGGTTCCATTGTTAATCTTTTTCAACTGCATCATAGTAATGTTCTCTATTTTTCCTTAAAATCTCATTCTTACCATAATTCTTGTTACATTAAAAGTGTTGTTAAAATCCTCCCTTTACAGTGTTCTCCCAGGTAACTTATAAATTCCCCCCATTCTTTATTGAATTTATTGCCTTCTTGGTTTCTGATCTTCATTGTCATTTTCGCCATTTCGGCAAATACAGATAAAGATTTAAACCAGACATTGGGAACTCTTCCACACTTCTGCTTGTCCAAGAGGTTTTCCACTTGTCCCATGATTTGAGGCATGAGCAGTTTTTCGTCTGTCCTGCCATGTTCCCTGGGAAAACCTACTGTTTACCGCTAACATCAATCCGCAGAAAAAACCAATGGACTTCCATTCCAATAATAATAATAAATTTTTATTTATACCCTGCCCTTCCCAGTTTAAAAACCGGGCTCAGGGCGGCTAACAGCAAATATAAAACATTGATTAAAATGTGACTTTAAAACAGCATAAAATACAACATAAAATGCAGCATCAATATCAATAACATTCAAAAATTCAGGGGTCATTGGGGGGGCAGTCAGTAGACATCAAATGATCACCAGGGCTAACTGGCCAAGTTGGTCCTACTAGGGCCAGCAAGGAGACCAGGGAAGAATTTAAATGTGGGGTCCCAGAAAGGATTTCTTTATAGAAGAGGGAAGGGGAAAGGGAATAGAGGATCAGGCTAATTCAAATTGAAGGCCAGGTGGAATAGCTCTGTCTTACAGGCCCTGTGGAAGGAGATCAAGTCCTGCAGGGCCCTAGTCTTGTGGGACAGAGCATTCCACCAGGTCGGAGCCACAGCCAAAAAAGCCCTGGCCCTGGTGGAGGATAGTCTGGCTTCCTTAGGGCCCTGGATCTTTAAGCTATTCTTATTCATGGACCTTAGGATCCTCTGCAGGACATACCAGGAGAGGTGGTCCCGTAAGTACGAGGGTCCTAGGCATCATAGGGTTATAAAGGTCAAAACTAGCACCTTAAACCTGACCCTATACTCCACCAGGAGCCAGTGCAGTTGGTAGAGCACTGGATGAATATGCTCCCTGTGAGGAGCCTCGCTGCAGCATTCTGCACCCGCTGGAGTTTCTGGGACAGTTTCAAGGGCAGCCTCACAGAGCGAGTTACAGTAGTCAAGCCTGGAGGTGACCGTCACATGGATCACTGTGGCCAGGTCGAGGTGGGAAAGATAAGGGACCAACTGCTTGATACGGCGAAGATGGGAAAATGTCGCCTTGGCTGTTGCTGCAACCTGCGCCTCCATGGAAAGGGAGGTGTCAAGGAATACACCCAAACTCTTAACGGAAGGCACTGGCACTAATTGAGCCCCTGCAAGAGAAGGGAGTTGGTCCCCCAACCCCATGCCATCCCGACCCAGTCAGAGGACCTCTGTCTTTGAAGGATTTAATTTCGGTCAGCTCCCACAAAGCCATCCAGCCACAGCTTCCAAGCATCTGGTCAGTGTGCCCGGGGTCAAGTTGGGGTGGCCGTCCATCAGCAGATAGAGCTGGGTGTCATGAGCATATTGGTGAAACCCAGCCCAAAGCTCTGGACAATCTGGGGGAGGGGGCGCATAAAGATGTTTTTAAAAGCGTTTACCAATTCAGTGGTAAACAGCAGGTTTTCCTGGGCAAAAGCGGCAGGACAAGCCTAGTTTGTGGATGAGCCTGGATATTGCTCAGCTACAACTCCCAACACCCCTTACCATGGGCTGGAACTGTTGGGAGGTGAAGTCCCCCATCCCTGATTATTGCACTGATTCCAGCTGCTTCACCCAATCAAGATTCAGAGTCTGATATCAGAGTGTTCAGCGTAGATCCTCTGCTACCTCCCATCTCTTTCTCCACAGGGTGACTCTGGAGGACCTTTGGTTTGCCAGCTTGAAGGAGTTTGGACCCAGGCTGGGGTTGTAAGTTGGGGAGATGGCTGTGCTGAAAGAAGCCACCCTGGTGTCTACACTCTAGTGCCTTTCTATGCCAACTGGATCCAAGACAAGATGAGTGGTAGAAATGGGAGTGGCGGCAAAAGTGACCAACTACACAACGCCCTTGTTGTGACATTCACTTTGGTGTCTCTTCTGCTAGCCCTTCTGTGAAAAACCAATCTATTGGCTTTCCATCTTACCTATAATTTCCGGGAATATTTAGGCTGCTGGAGGACTCTGTTTAAATCACCACATGCAGTAGATCCAGGGAAACCTACCCCTACTTCTCCCTGATTAATACAGGCATTAGCCTTGTCACATTTCACTTCCTTTCTAACCATTTGATCATAGCTTAAGCATTTATTATTAAATTTTGATCCTACCTTACCTCCATGGAGCTGAAGATGACATACATGGCTCTCCTCCTCCCCATTTTTATCCTCACAACAACCCTGTGAGGCAGGTTCAGCTGAAAGTGTATGACTGGCTCAAGGTCACCAACAGGCTGGCTGGAAATTTGAACCCTGGTCTCCTAGGTCCTAGTCCAACACTCTAACCATGACACCTTACTGTTACACCCAAAGAACCCCAGGATTATCACCTGGAGAAGAAGCTGAGAATTTTCCATCCATGGACATCAGTTGGAAGCTATGATATTTCAGACTTTTACACTGATACTGAAAGTGATGATTTAATGTCCACAATTCCTTTTTATTTATTTTAAGTGGTGCCTGTCGTTCCATTCTTAAAAGAAAATTAATGTTTTTAATTGACATTTTTAAATGAAGTGGAAACAAGTGGTAGATAAATTCAGCCCCTGGGACAAAACATAATAAGTTATGAACTTTAATTTGAATTTCTTCAGTCATTTGATCTTTTATTTGTGATGCTTCAGAGTTTTAAAGCTATCAATAAATTATTATAAAATACTTTCAATAGTTTTATTGCTTTATTCTTTGTATGATTATTTCTTCTTCTTTTCTCTTTTAATATTTGTATGTATACCCAAAGAGAAAGAGAATGTTTTTATGTACTATCTCTGTCTGCTTCAACTACCTCCATTTCTTCATGCTTTGCTCAGCTTTTTCCTCTTCTTTCTGCATCCTGCATGCATGTATATACAGTGGTTTCTTGGTTCTCGAACTTAATCCGTTCCGGGAGTCCGTTCGACTCCCAAAACCATTCAAAAACCAAAGCGCAGCTTCCAACTGGCTGCAGGAGCTTCCTGCACTCAGTTGGAAGCCATGGAAGCCACATCGGATATTTGGCTTCTGAAAAACATTCGCAAACCAGATCACTCACTTCCGAGTTTGCAGAGTTCAGGAGCCGATTTGTTCAGGAGCCAAGCCATTCAAGTACCAAGGTACCATTGTACTGAGTTAGACCATTGGCCCAGATTTTGTGGGAAGGGGCAGAGGCTAACAGAATCACTAGAACTAGCTCGCCAGTAAATGCTGGAGACACTAAAGATTTAAACCAGACACTGGTAACCTCTGACCCTCCATTGTTGCTGGTCAGCAACTCCTACCATCCCTGACCATGGAGCATGCTGGATGGAACTGCTGGGAGGTGAAGCCCAACAACATATGGAGGGTTTCAGGTTCCCCATCCCTGATTGATACACTTATTCCATCTCCTTTACCTTGTTTGGCTCTGGTGTCATTGTGGGATCAATCTCCCAAATCTTTCTCCACAGGGTGACTCCAGGAGAGCCTTAGTTTGCCAGCTCAAGTTTGACCCAGGCTGGGGTTGTGAGCTTGGGAAGAGGCTGTGAAGGCACCTACCGGTACATTTCAGTGCCTTTCTATGCCAAGTGGATACAAGACAATAGAAACAGGTTCGGTAGACAAAATGGTGGACCACCCAACGCCCCATATTGTAATGCAAACCTAAGTAATTCACACTTCCAAAACTACATGCAAACGAAAACACAGCTATCCTTTGAAATCCTCTTAATTTTGTGCTGCAGTTATCAAAAAAAAAAATTTACAAAAGAACAAGTACATTAGGAGGAAGTGTGATTAAAAGTGGATATTTTAGTGAAAATGGCATACAAAAATATGTTACATTACAAGAAAGAATAATAACAATAACAATAATAAAGTAGTGGGTGGACATAGTAGATGACACAGAGATTTCTCCAAGTACTTCTTTATAAGTAAGCTGGAACTGAACTGAACAGCAAACAGCTCAGCCAGCCTGCTTTTATAGGCAGCCGGCTGTCAACATTGTAACAACAACAGCCCAGGGTTTCCCACCTAAATTAACTTACATGGACCTGAGTGAAAACTATATACACAATACCCCCTGGTGGCCAGGGTGAGAACTTCAATACATAACACCCCTCCCCACCGAGATAAGGCATAGTTACAATCATAGTGGTTCCCTTCCATACAGCAATACCCTTATTGATTCAGTAAGGCACATATGTAAATTGATTCCAGTTTTACAAATTTGCAGGCATAACTGTTTCACTATCAACTATATTGTCCGTAAGACTCACCAAAAGCTTGCTAGGCTTTTATATATACCACACTTTTTGCTCTATAAGACTCACTTTTTCCCTCCTAAAAAGTAAGGGGAAATGTGTGTGCATCTTATGGAGTGAATGCAGGCTGCGCAGCTATCCCAGAAGCCAGAACAGCAAGAGGGACTGCTGCTTTCACTGCGCAGCGACCCCTCTTGCTGTTCTGGCTTCTGAGATTCAGAATATTTTTTTTTCTTGTTTTCCTCCTCCAAAAACCAGTCTTGTGTTCTGGTGCGTCTTATAGAGCGAAACATACGGTATGTAAAACTTCAAAAGGAGGGGGTGTGTCTGCTAAAAGGCTTCAAAGAATTAAAAGCAAACAAGGCAGCAGTACCCCTACACACAAATCACACAACACTAGCAATAATAGACGGACTGCTAGAAGGAGTGGAGCCAGAGAATAGCATCTCCCCACCTCCAGTATCTAATTCAGCCTTCGTCAACCTGGTGCCCTCGTAAGAACATCAGACAAGTCTGACTGCCAAATACCCCAAGGAATCTAGGAATCTAGATAGACTGCCTCTTGACTTGAAGTTTCCATAAGAACTTAAGAAGAAACTGCTGGGTCAGGCAAAGGGCCCATTCTGTCCCGCATGAATGTACTTACAGAAAAAAGGGGAGAACTCAATATCCAAATATATTCATATTAATCTCACCATAGGAATACATGTCAGTGGAGAGAGGCATAGACAGGAAGAATTATTATATTAACCAAAATCTTTGAAAAGACCTTGGTAGCAACTGATTGTATTCTTCGCTGGTTTTAACAAAATTAATTTTTATTAAAGATTTTCATGAAATACAAAATAACATGCAATGTCTCTCTTCTTTTGTTCAGATTATAAAGTTTTTTGGTTAGATTCAGTGTAAGACAATATGGTCTTCCTCATTGTTGACAAACATAATAACATTGTACGAAACAGACAAATCTCTTTAATTTGACCCCTCAAGATCCTTCGCTTAATATGGTGATTTTTCTTTTTTTTTTCTTTTTTGCCAAATGAGTTTTTATTGGTTTATCATTATATATACATATAAACAAATACAAAGTATAATACATAAATTACATGTGTCATATCCAGTCCATGAATCATACATATATTACATAGTTGTTTTAAACTCCACCGAGCCTTAGACTTCCCTCCACTCCTTTGGTAAGTATCAGATAAATTCTGAAATCACGTATTTTATCTCCTTTACTTATTAGTCGTTCGCTGTTAGAGTTATTCCAGTCCCACCAGTGTCGTCAAAGTTCTACAATTAGTTCTTATATACGTCAAATATTTGTTCCAATTGTCATGAAATTTCTGTTCGTCCTGATCCCTTAATCTTCCTGTTATTTTAGCTAGCTCAGCATAGTTTATCATCTTGACTTGCCAGTCACTTATAGTAGGTATTACCTCCATTTTCCAGTTTTGTGCTAACATGGTTCTTGCGGCTGTTGTGGCATATAAAAATAGATTTTTATCTTCTTTTTTAATTTCTTTGCCAGTTATTCCTAGCAGGAAGGCTTCAGGCTTTTTTGGAAAAGTATATTTCAAAAAAAATTTAAGCTCATTGTAAATCAGTTCCCAAAAGCCTTTCACCTTACTGCATGTCCACCACATATGGTAGAAGTCACCTTCTACCTCTCCGCATTTCCAGCATTTCTTATCCTTCAATCTATAAATTATTCTTATTCTTCAATCTATAAATCTTAGCTTCACTTCACTGGCTAACTTCAAATCATTTTCCAAAGGTTCTCCCTCAATGCCGTACACGCCGTGAACTTCATATTAACATTCCAGAATTCATGCCACATTACAAAATCAATATTGTGACCAATATCCATGGCCCATTTGGTCATAGCCTCCTTCACCTCTTCATCTTTTGTGTACCAATCCAATAAGAGATCATACATCCTAGACAAAGTTTTATTTTTACCTTCTATAACTTCCACATTAAATTTAGATTTTTTATCTTCAAATCCTAATTTCTTTTTGTCTTCTTTTAGCAAGTCGTTTACCTGGTGGTATTGCAACCACCCTGTAAATAAGTTCTTTGCCTCTTCATAGGATTTACGTTTTATGCCCTGATCGGTTTTCCTGGTAAGTTCTTCATAAGTGGCTTTCCCACCCTCCATATTAGTTTTTTTGACAGTCAGCACTTTTATTGGTGAAATCCACCAGGGTGTTTTCTTTTCCAGCAAATCTTTATTTCTTTCCCAAACTTGGAATATTGGTCCTCTAATTATATGATTTAGAAAGCCTCTATGAACTTTCACCTTCTTGTACCACAGGTACGAGTGCCACCCGTACCTGTTATCGAAGCCCTCTAAATCCAAAATATCAGTATTTTCCAGTTTTATCCAATATTTCACCCACATTAAACATGCCGCTTCATAGTATAAACTCAAATATGGTGATTTTTCAAGACGTGACGTTTCCCAAACTTTCAAATAACAATATGTAAGATTAGCACCAGCAAGATCCTTCTAGAACAAGATTAGGGTTAGTTCAAGAAATGGTGGTTTTAAACAACAGCAGATGTTTGAGTAAAGCAGAAGTAGCAGTACACTGAGAAGAAAATGGTGGTTTTATACAACAATAAAGGTTTGAGTAAAGCAGGGATGGAGTAACACTGAGGGGTTGTTATTTTGTTAAGCCAGTTTTAACAAGTACAAATAGTACAAAGCTACTACAACAAATCCTTTCCAAACTCTGGAAACAAGCTCTGGATTCAAAACTTGTTTGAAACTGCCACTTCCCCCTCTGTGGCAGATACTACAGGGAAGAGGGTTGAAATGTTGGAGGGCTGAACTATACTGCATTACAGGGGGTTGGACTAGATGACTCATGGAGGCCCAGCTCAACAATTCTATGATTCTGTACATGCCACATGGCTTGCCCTTTGCCCCTTACACAATCCTACTGCACTCAGGTGCCATCGAGGGCACTGTGCTTTATCAGTGTTGAAATAAGATTCAAAAGTCAGTCTGCCACTGTTCCTCCACCTCAAGCATCTGATTGTTCACCTCAGTCAGCAAAAATGCCTTGTCGGCCTTGCCTGACTTAAAGTCACAGAAACCGGGTCAGAAAACCTGTCAACACCAGTAGTAGGAATGGAATTTGAGGTTTTGCAATGGGGATTAGATAATTCAACAGACCTTCCAAGTGTCCCTATTTCCCAGGCCAGGGACAGTCCTGGATTTACAAAAGTTGTCCTGGTTTCTGATTTGATCCCAGAATGTCCCACTTTTCCTTAGGATGTCTCTGTTTTCATCAGATAAATGTTGGTGGGTATGGAGTCATGTGACCTCTGAGTCAAGGAGATAAGTAACAATATAATCTTTAGAAGACATCTGAAGGCAGCCCTGTATTTTTAAAATGTTTGTTGTTTTATTCAATGCTATTTTTCTAGAAAAAGTAGTGCTGGAAGTCACCATGAACACCTCCCTTGTTCTCTTATAATGGCAATGGGGCCCACCTGAAAGGTGCCAGAACTAAGTTCCGGTGAGTTCTGGCCTGTGCTCATTTTCCTACTCATATTGAAATACTGCCCCTCAATGAGGCCAAACTTAAATTCACAAAATGTTTAGGGGTATGGGTACCCCTGCGTAACCCCAGAAAGAAAAGCCCTGGTTCCAGCTGAAAAAATCCCTGGTTTCCTTATGTTTTTCTATATGTTAGAAGCCGCCCGGAGCATTAAAAATAAAATTATTATTATGGAAAAGGATGTCCCTATTTTCATCAGAGAAATGTTGGAGGGTATGTATTCAAAGAACTGAGATTTATATGTTGCACCCCCACTCCAGACGTAGAGAGACTCTCAGGAACCCAAAGAGGAGGAAATGCACAGAAGCACCACCCTTTCCCCTTGATATGGAACATTATATAGCACAATTAATTAAGATCAAAGTTCAGCTTTTCCTGGCGTTCACTGGAAAGGAACCACCCGGAAAGTACTTCAGAGAAGGACTGCAGAATCAGAAGCGAGCGGAGCATGTCGTTTAGCCCTCCTTACTGGTACTGCGGCTGCTGCAACTAATTGTGCTAAAAGGTGATGGATTGGTAAGTGGGAATCAATCTCTCAAGTTTTCCCCACCTTTCAGGGGTGTAAAAAGGAGACGGGTTTAAAGAGTGATGGCTCTAGACTGTCATTATTTTGCGGGGCAGGGGGATTCAATGACATAACTAGCAAAATCAGGTTGTGCGTAACAAACCCACTTCCAAGCAAAATTAGATATTTTTGTGATGAGAGTGAAGAGA